CCGGACGTTTCCTTCTGGGGTCCCCGCCGGCCCCCAGGGCCGCTGCGGCGCACACCTTCACGTTGTCCGCGGCCAGCAGCTTCGCCCACCCAGACCGCCGTGCAGGTGCGCGGCAGCTCCCCGGCCCAAACCTCTCGGCTGCAAGTCAGCCAGCGGCAGGGCTGCAGCACCAGGGACAAATTTAGGACTTAGCCCAGCTCTAGCATTAGACGTTTCAGGACTAACCACTTCCCTTTCATATTCCATGGGGATAAAACTCAGTACGGCGATGCGAAAAGCAGGCCAAAAGCTCTATTAGAAGCCATTGCTATTATTAAAAACAAATACTTTCTAGTCTTTTTGGATGAAAAACAAATACCTCGGTTACCAGGACCCCGGTAGATGTCTTCACGTACAATATTAATACAATCTGTCAGCTATGCAAAGGCTGTAGAATAGCCATTATTTTCAGACAAATATCCACAGCGATGATTTTAATCTATACATTGTATGCTGCTTCCCTCATGCTGCAGCAGAGGAGTTATACTGACCTTCCCCAGAGCATCGTAAATCACAGCCCAGGAACAATTAGCAAATGTGCTGGACCCCGGCCAAGCGCTCTCTCACCGTAAAACCTGGGCAGCGCGAGGCCTCCTCAAGTCCACAGCAATGACAGACTCTGCCCTGATGGTTGCTAAACCTGCTCTCTCCCATAAATTTCCAAAATAAAAAAGGCTCTGCATTTTGTATAGTCTTTGCAGGATGAAACGTTTCCGTCGTCTGTTGGCTCTCTGAATGGACCTCTCCACAACGAAAACAAGACCAAAGTCCACCATTGCTCTGCTTTCCCCTTTGGCAGAGCCGTTATCAGCAAACTAGCAAAAGGCTGCATACTTCAATACACGCAGGGAAGAGATCAAAATTATTTTTAATTAAACACAAACAGCAGAAGTGAAACCTTAAGTCACATGATGCAGCGGCAACTTTCTCAGGTGCTCATAAAACTACTGCTAGCCGTCATAAACTGCCAGTGCAAATGCAAGCGTGAACACGCAAAAGATAAATATCAGCACATAAAATAGACGATCCTCATTGCTCACAACAGCATCAGAATCATGGAATTAAGAGGAAGCATTTATTTGCTAGTTATCGAGACATAACCTAGCACGACAGGACAGAAGAAACACCACTGCAGAACAAGGGAAGAGTGGGACGCTCCATGCCACGTGTGGCCAATGGCTTTGCTGTACAACTCTAAAGGCAGCAGTTGTTTATTTGTCAAAGACTCTTCTATCATTTAAAAATAAAACTCATGTTTTCCTATGTATATGACCTCAGTTGAACCTTATGGGGAAAAAAATACAGGCAAATTAATTTCAGTTTGGTCTCAGCTCCGTATCATAGAGACAAAAATAGGTGCATTAGCATTTCAATATTAGGAGCACAGGACATTATGAGACTAATTTAAAAAATCCTGGAATGTTAAATATTCACATGAAAGTCTACAGACCCATTCAGCAGAATGCTTTTGTGAAAGGGAGCCTGATCCCAGCTGGGATCTCCCCCCTGAGATAGCAAATATTACCACAATGTAATAATAATAATGAATTTTGGCTTGATGATAAAGGGAGAAATCATTCAGGAAAGAAACCCAAGAAATTACTGATTTTATCTGACCCATTGTGAGTTTGAGGATGAAGTATTAAAAATAGGTATGACACAGTAACTGTTTGAAGCCATATATGACATAATGAAAATAAATTCCTCTGCTCTTCCACAGAATGATAGTTCAAAGCACCTTCTCATGTTGAGAAAGATTTCAACTATCAGTTAATTTAACGAAATTGAAGCCATCTACTACCTCTTGCCTCCACTCATCTGAAGAAAGTCTAACATAATACCATCAAGCCAAGCTGGTCAGACATGGCAAGATTTTCCTAGAGAAGATAACTTCGGGGCACATCTCACAGTAAAAACACACGGCGTTAGCACACTTGGGAAGGGTCTGACGCTACTTGCCCAGAAAGTTGTATTCATTGAGGATCCTAGCCACAGCCTGAGTGCTCTCAAACTGCTCCAGTAACACATGAGCTGGATGAAACTCCCTTTTGCAGGTGTGTTTTAGATATAGTGAGAAAGGGATAAGCCTGTGTAATACTCCCGAGATGCTTTCATGCAGGACAAGATGATCCAAGAACAGCAGAGAGCTACTGCGGTGACACCTGCTAGCACACTGGAGTTGGAAAATGCAAAACTCCTTGTAACAGGTGATCTTGATGTCTTTTAGTGGAAGATTTGCCAAGGGCAAAATCAAGACAATGGCTCACAGCACTGCCAACGCAGGAGCATAGAGACCCTTACTGAGGGGAGCTCCTTCTTCATGGAAGTCCACTGAAACTAAGACAAAACACTTGCAAACACACAATATTCAGTCATTAACATTAAAATACTTTATTAGCTGGACAGGGTATGCAATATGGATAGAAATATTCTGAAATACAAAGACCTCTGGAACATCGTTTTAAAAAAACCACAAATCCGTACTTCCACATCTTATTTATATACATATCCAAATGTATTCAAGAGCTTGAATAAGGTCATATTTGCTTTTTATTTCTTCTCTTTAAAGCAATTTTAGTGCAGTCCAAGGCCTTTTTGTTTCTTCAGCAGAAAAGTGCATAGCTACCCTATCTTATGATTTGGCCTGAAATCTGATGAAAGCTTACATACTCTTTGCTCCCTCACTAGATCCTTTCAAGCTTGACTTCTGCCTCTTTTTCTCTCTTTGTCCCAACATTCGATAGATTTTTTTCTTAGCCTCCTTTTGCCTCTTTAATTTCTGTTCCTCTTCCTTCTGCTTAACTTTGAGATACTCTTTAAGCTGCTGTCGATGTTTTACTTTGGCTTTCTTTATCTTGTAATTATTCACTGTACTCAAAGCACTGAGCAAGGCAGATATCTAAAAGAGAAAACAAAGTACCGATATACAAACAGTTCAGTTCTGGTAAGCAAAAAGAGTTCAGCAAACTTCAGCAAAGAGTCACACAATGAATCGGAGATTCTGGGCAAGTTCCTAATCATTTCTGCACCTGTTTCCCAATTTCTAAAACAGTTTAATTACTTAACTTGTTAAGAAGTTAATCAAAGGCTTAATTTTGGGGAAGTCTGATTTCGGTTAGATATTATTTAAAAAGCTGTGCCCAATTGCCACCATAAAATACTTAGCTTCTTCAGGAAGGCAAAAACTGAAGTTTGGATCTTGCCTTCGCAAGCTCTTTACAATTCTCAGTTTTTGAAGTAGTGTATTTGCTTCAAGTCCTCTCTTTGTTAATAATGAATAGCAATGACAAGACAAATGAAAGACTGCAGCTGTTAATTTAAGTCACCCGTACGGTGAGAGCACTGCACTCAACTGAAATGTCCTTGTCATGACATTTTCAAGGTAAGAGTCACATTTAGGCCTCAGGTGACCTACTAGTTTAATAAGCAGCCACCATCCACTCAGGCCCAACTCCATATATGTACCAAGTGCAGAAAAAGAACAAAACAAATAGCAGGGATAATTTTTCACTAGGATCATATATACACATTAAGTATGAGCAGTAAATGCAAGTGCTAAAACAGTTAGACATAGTCTAAGCAACACATTTAGAGAGTGCTTGTTTTCAGAATAAACGATACTTACCTTCCTTTCATGAGGCTCCCTGATAACAGCTGGCCTCCACTGGTCTTTTGGAGTCTTGCCCTTCTTCTCAAGATTTTTAGGCTTGTTCTTAAAAGGCAGTGCCTTCTGCAGTGCTTTGGGAATGTGGAGCTTATTAAAATGCCTTTTCTCCCGCACTATAGGCTAAAGGAATGGAAATAAAGCATGTAAGATTAATGATTTCAAAGAGCTTTCATTTTATTTTCCACATTTCAGAAAAACAGTTTTCAGACGTCTTTGCACCTGGCTATGAATGATATGCTCACCCCTGTTCTACTATGACAAAAGTCTCAGTATGCTTTTGGAGGAGACTTCTGCTCCAGATTCCTTTATAAAGTCTCACTGACTCACAATACTTGGCTTTCCACTGCTTTATTCCTGTCTTACGCAGGAAAGACTGTGCCTTGAGGATAAAAATAAAAACATCACATATGCCTACGCAACGCTAATCTATTTACACTGCTCTCAATTTGCACAGGTCTAGGGGAAACTAGGTTTTTGGGGTTTTTTTAACCAGGGATCACAGACATAACAAACATACCTTATAGAGGGAATCTTTGTTTTGTTTCAGTTTGATGCCTCGTTCTTGCCTCAGTTGGCCTGTTGTCTTCATTCCTCTCCAACTATCTTTCTCACCTGCTGGCTTCAGCAAGGATGTTACCGGGTTATAAAACGCTGGGATAGAAACAGGATACCAAGTCCGCACAAAGACAATATCTGAAAGGAAATAAAATATCAGTTGGCTCTGACAGCACAGTTCATCATATCTGCAGTCTAAAAGATTATCCAAAACAGATCAGATAACTAACATCTAGACCACGTGCCAGTATTTCACTTGCGCATTAGACAGGGCATAGTCCTTCTCCAACCCTAAATCTGCTCAACCTTACACAAGATCAACATAACTATTTATACATTTGGATTCTGCAACACTCCATATATAAAGTCACAAAGAGTATATAAGACAAGATAGCTGAATATCATCCTATCCATTCTTCCTATTCAGTTAGAGAACTAGCACAAGAGTTCATATATGTATCTGTACCCATCCTATTTGCTGATAAAAATGATTTATCTTTCTCCTGCCTATTTTTATAAAATAACGTGATTTTATTTTGCACTATCCATAACTGCCATGTATTTAGGAAAACAGAGATCACGTAAACCCAGATAATCACAAACTCACGTTCTCATGATCACAGCTATACTGAGCAATCACAACAGATCACTACCATCCCCACCACACACACACACACACACACACACACACACACACACAGAGTTTCCCCAAAAAGGTTACAAGATAAATTCTTAGCTGAAGAGCTACAATGCCACTCTTTGGATTTGTCACAAAAATGCCCTTCTAGCACTGGTACCACCAAATATGGTTTATTTACACATTCAGGAAGACAAGCCTAGCAAGCTGTATAAACACTTTAAAACTCTCAGAGAAATACATCTCCAAGACAAACCTTTTCATCACCTTCTGAGTCTAACTGAAAAAAATTCAACACAAAAATACAGTTTTTTCCTATTTCATTCTGTGTCTCATGCGAGATTTCATGCTCTTTGAATTCCCATCTCAATTATCAGTTTCCAGTGATCCTGGGATGCTACTTTTCAATCTGTGAAGCAGGATGAAAGTCATGCGATAGCAGTGCCTTATTAATCTTACGTGGAAAGTGCAACTTACCACTCATCAGCAACTTGTCTTCAAATGTTGCTCTAAAAGCACCTGCTGGAGCTCGGAGGGCCTTTTTGATCTGTCCTCGGATACCACTCACAGTACGAATTGCTGCACCTTCAAATTTAGCCACTTCCAACTGAGAGTTAAACATTCCCTGAAAGTGAGAATTAGCGACCATCATTCAAGGTGTTACGTCTATCTCTTTGGCCTACGTATGCAGGCCACAAAAATGTAAGTAATTCCCACCAGCATATCTCAGGAAGAAACTGGAAGAAAAGAATGTCGTCTTTACACTAAGTGCGCTAATCATACCAAAAACCTACTGAAGCAACTTTTCTAAGATAAGTTACTAAGAACATCTGATTTGAGTCACATAATCACAGCCATGGCTTTTTAACATTAACTATATATACACACACACATATATACATATAAATATATATATACACATACACACACATATCTCTCTCTCTCTCTCTAAAACTGAACAAATTTGAGAGAATCTGTCCAGACCACTTTCAAAGTACTTTGCTGGAATACAGTGTACCTTAAAGCAAATAAGCTGCCTTAAACTACTAGCTATGAGACTAATACAATACAGCTCTCCAGGACCCGTGCTTGTGCTTTTCCTTTTACAAGAAAAGGAGAAAAACCTCTGTGTACGCTTAAGAGGAATACTTGAGTGCTTGGCTGGTTAGGATGAGAGTACTTAGTTGCTTACTGCCTCAAATCCAGAATAACTTCACCTCTTCCTCAGCCTGAAAGCCTGAATAAGGGCAGCTGAAAAATTTACTCCTGCAACACCTTCTTCCGCCCCAAACACTTTCATTGCTGTATTTGCAAAGTCCTAAGCACTGCCGGAAGTCATCACTGATCCCACAGCTGAAGTTAGGCAGATCACTGATCCCACAGCTGAAGTTA